AGGGATCAATCAGAAAAAAGATCACAACAAAATGAAGCAAGCCTAAGGTTCATGTGGGATACCATCAAAAGGAATAACCTTTGTGTATTCAGAATTCCAGAACAGGAAGAGACAAATAAAACCACAGAGAAAACTGTCAAAGATGTGTGAAGAGAATTTCCCAGGTATGATGAAAGATGAGAATATATCTATTCAAGAAGTCCAATGAACCCCAAACAAGATAGACCCCCAAAAGAAAATCACTAAGACACATCATCATCAAACTCACCAAAACCAAAGACAAAGAAAGAATCCTGAAAGCAGCATGGGAAAAACAAGTTACCTACAAGGGGCAACCAATAAGACTAAGCTTGGATTTCTCGACAGAAACCATGCAAGGCAAGAAGACAGTGGGGTGGTATATATAAAACCAAGAAAGAGAAAATTTTCAACCAAAAAGTATATATCCAGCAAAATTGTCCCTCAAATATGATAGTTAGTACATTTCCAGATAAGCAGAAATTAAGGGAATTTGTTAAAACCAGACCAACCTTACAAGGGATGCTAAACGGAGTCCTTTGGACAGAGAACCAACAACAGCAAACAACAACTGACCATTAACACACATAATGACATAACCCAGAAAACAACCCAGATATGGAAGTACTGAAAGTAAATAAGCTTACAAGAATGTAAACAGGGAACCAGAGACATGAATTGGCAAATGAGGACAACTACAAACCAAAAAGAGGGAAAAAACTGTGTAGTTACAACTTCTAAATGGTGAGGAAGTCAAGACAACTGCAAGACAGAATGGAGTATTCTAAACTTGGGAAGAAAATTATAAATCATAGGGTAACCTCAAAGAAAAACGATAAACCTTCACATTAAAATAAAGAGGACCAGCACAAATACTTAGCAAATAATAAAACAACAGCAACGAAGGAAGTGATAACACGATTCATAAACAAAATGAACTCAACACAGAAAATTATATGCAACAAAGAAATCAGGGATACCATGAAAAAGCACATAACAAATGACAGCCACAATTTCATACTTGTTGATAATTACACATCTAAAAGGGACTTACCTCTAAAATTTATGAAAAACTCCAACACCTTAACAATGAAAAGGCTAACAATCCAACTAAAGAATGGGCAGAAGACATGAATAGATACTTCACCAAAGAGAATATTCAGGTAGCCAGCAAATACATGAAAGAATGCTCACAATCATTTAGCCTTCAGAGAGATGCAAATCAAAACAACAATGAGATACCATCTCACCCCAGCACTCATGGAAAAGTTCAACAAGACACAAAATAACAAATGCTGTCCAGGATGTGGAGAGATTGGGACTCTTCAACTGCTGGTAGAACTGTTAAATGATATAACCACCATGGAAAACAGAACAGCGATTCCTTAAAAAGCTGGAATTAGAAATACCATTTGACGCAGCAATCCCGTTACTAGGTATATACCCTAGTGAGAGCCAGGACAAGAAAGATACATGCACACCCATGTTCATCACAGCACTACTTATTATAGCAAAAAGATGGAAACAACCTAGGTGCCCATCAACAGAAGAATGGATAAGCAAACTATGGTACATAGACACAATGGAATACTATGCAACACTAAAGAATCATGTACAATCTGCAAAACACCACACAACATGTATGAACTTGGAGGACATTATGCTCAGTGAAGTAAGTTAATCACAGAAGGACAAATATAGTATTAGTTCATTATTGCAAAAAGTCAAGGAAAGGTTTATATATGAAAGGAAACCTTCTTTATTGGTTACCAGGGGTAGGGGGAGAGGGCAAGGGAACACTGCAAAAAGAGAAAGAAAAAAAAAAATGCAGACACATGTCACTTCAGTTTTTTGTATTTCACCGCACATAAATTATATTTCAATAAAATGTATTTAAAAAATAGAACAATGACAGGAATCAGTTAATCTTCACTTAAAAATGAGAATTCAAAGCATATTAAGTCTACCCAAAACATTTTTAGTTTTGTATGTATCAAATTAGTACCCACCAATATTCCAATACAAAAGGCTTATTTAGAACTCCCCCTTACCCCAATTTTCAAAAAAAGTAGTAAGTATAGAATAGAATTAGCACCAGGTAAGAATTCAGGAAACATAGGGTACAGTGTCAGCTCTGCTGATAATCTTTGTCAATTAAAAAATATTAAGTGCTTGGCAGCTGCTAGACCTGATACTAAAAAAAAAAAAAAAAGATAAAAAGATAAGACCCCTGCCAATAAGAACAAATGTTTATCTCCATGACCCTGAGACTGGAAGAACTAGATGCTGCCCAGCTACCACCCATGACACCTCTGAAAAAGATAACGATAGGAGGTTCCAGAAAAAGTGAGAGAAAAATGTGAAACAAAACTCAAAATCATTGAAAAAAAAAAAAAGACCAGGCTTACTGGTCTAATAAAGACTGGTGGAAGTCCCAAGACTATGGCCCTTAGATACCCTTCAGGCCTGGAACTGTCCTCACCCTGTGGCTCAACTCTCAGTCAAATGACAGAGAGGCCTGCAAGGTGAACTTAATATCAGGGAGGTACACACTCCTTCAAACAATCAACCGTACGAAATCAAAAGGGCAGCATTTGTCCAGGGATAAATCTTAGAAGGCAGGAAGAGAAAGGGAAGAAGGACAAAGGGAAATGGTACTCACAGGAAGGAAGTGGGAAGAGTGCTGTTACACTGTGGGGAAAGCAATCAATGTCACAAAACTAAAGGGGTAGGAATTGTTGAATGGAATATCAATTTGCTCTGTAAACTGTCACCCAAATCACAACTAAAAAACAAAGACAGACAGAAGACACACAAAAGAACAAATGATTACAATACTAAGTGATGAGTCAGAAAACAGAAGAAAGAACAGAGAATTTGACAGAACAGATTTTTAACAATGTGCAGAGGAACAATCACTTAAACCAAGATTTAAGAATGAATAAGATTCACTAAGCAAAAAGGAAAAAAAATTTTCAGGCAGAGGAAAAAGTTTATGCAAAGGTCTAAAGGGTGGTAAAGGAGCACTGGTGGTGCAAAGATTAGGCGCTCAGCTGTGAATTGAAAGGTTGGTGGTTTAAACCTACCCAGTGGCTGCACTGGAAAAAAACCTGGTGATGTGCTCCCATAAGTTACAACCTAGAAAACCCCATGGGGCAGTTCTACTCTGCTGTATGGGGTTACTATGAGTTGGAATCAATTAGACAGCACCTATCAACAACTAACAAAAGAAGAAAAGGTACAAAGGTCAGTGTGCTTCTTGCAAAGTGGGAAAATAAGTCAACAAATCATTTTCTTTTTTTAATTTCAAGGCTAGATAGTTAATGTTATTTCATAAACTTGATTACTACACTTTATTATATTACACTATATTAAGATAAGAGCTCTGGTAGCATAGTGCCTAAGGCACTTGACTGCTAACCAGAAGACTGGCGATTCAAACCCACCAGCCACTCCTCGAAAGGAAGGTTGGGCAATCTACTTCCATAGTGATACTGCCTTGGAAACCCAAGGAGGGGTCACTATGAATCGGGTCTGAATCGATGGCACATAACAACAACATACTAATGTAATTTACATTTAATAGTCTTTACAACATCTAATCTTTACAACAATCCTGTGAGGCAGGAAGAGGTCTCATAGGATCATCTAGATTTTATAGACAAGAAAACTAAATATCAGAGAGGTTAAATAATCTATATCCAGTGAAGCATCTAGTAAGTGGCAGAGCTGGACAAAACTATGGAAAATGCTTTTACTAAAACAATACAAAAGGGGACTGTTTCCACTGAGCAATGTATATTTAAACCAAAAGGGAATCACTAGAATAAAACTCACTCTGGATGAAACCTAAGTAACTATGGTAGCAAGCAAGAAAGCTCATTGCCGTCAAGTCGGTACCAACTCATAGCGACCCCTCCTTGGGTTTCTGAAGCAGTATTACTACGAAAGCAGATTGCCCAATCTTCCTTCCAAGGAGTGGCTGGTGGGTTTGAACCGCCAGCCTTCTGGTTAGCAGTCAAATGCCTTAGGCACTATGCTACCAGAGATCCCAAGTAGCTAAGGTACTGGCTCTCTATGAAGGCTTCACCCATAAAATTCAAGGAATTGATAAGGATGTACAATTAAAATAAACCATTGCCAAAAAGCAATTAAAATTCACAGCATAAAAATACAATTCTCTGCTATGAAATTTTTCCCCCCTGAAACAGTTTTAGCAGAAGTGTCTTTAAATATCTGGATGACTGATTCAGGCTGAATCAACAGCATACTCAGTTTCTGGCCATAGTCTGATACTGAAAATATAAGCCCATGAAATATGGATTTGTAAACACGTAGGTAGCTTACCTGTAAACAAGTGCCATGTTTTTCTATGAAAATTCTCTGATTCAATAGTTCCAAAGAAAAGAGCCTCAAATATTTAACATGATCAGTATTTTTTATAAAGAAGCACTCAGTCATACGATCTTTTTTGTAAATGTTTGAATAAGGGCAATTATTGTTTATGAAATTTAATCAGAAATTAATTACCTGGATCATCAGAAATATCAAGCTATGGGACACCACTTATTTCCAAAGACTAAAGTCTTCCTAAACAATTGTACTCTCTAAAAATCAAAATGCTGAATAATGCAAAAATTGAGAGTATATTCTCTGACCATTTGTAATACACAGTAAATAAGATATTTAAGCAATACATCTCTAAAATCTTTGTGCTCAACAACACTATTTTATAATATCTATACCAGCTGAGAAAGCCTTCCACTTCCCTATTGATGTTGCCCAGGTTTAAAAATAATTGCTATCCAATTTTTAGAAGGTAAGACATATAATTATTCCAACTATCAGTTTGTTTAAGATGCTAAAAAGAAACATGCTAAAACCTCTTCCATTATTATTTTTTATACTTCTTTTACTAAAGATTGATTTACGTGAGCCCTATAAGAACATTATTTTAACTTGTAAAATTAAAACTAGCTTACCCGTTTTTTCCTTTTGTTCTCTATGCCTGAAAAAATGGATGACATCTTTTGGATTAGCTACTCGATCCACAAATTTCTGGCTAAAGCGAAGTACACTGAAAGGTTCAAAGCCTCCACTATAGTCCACCTGGAAATACAGAATATGCTATAAAGGCTAGGAAACAAGAATTTTCCAATTTTTAAGAAATATACTCATCCTTCAGTATTTATAGCCCTTATGCTCAACAACATTTTTAAATTAACATGTTAATTTTCTACGATACATTTTAAAGATCATGACGGGATTATACCATTTATTCTATAGAGAAATAAAGATTGGAAGACTTCTAAGCTTCAGCAAAACATTTTGTTCAGTGGAATCAGGACAGCAAAATTTTCCACAACGAAGGGATGATTACAATTTCCGATAATAACACTGAAAATCTAGGTACCAGGTACCATCTGAAAAGGAGGTGAAAAAATTCTTCATGAAAAAACCTGGTAAAAACCTGGCCCTGGTAAAGAGGACTGACTATATGGTTCCCCAAAAGTAATAGAGGTATAGTCTCACACTACACAAGGATGGATAATGGGAAAATCTGTGTAGAAAAAGAATCAAATTTAGGAGCTTTAAGAAAACATTACCTTGTATGTACAGTATCCATTTAGAACTAACAATCTCTCTCTAGCAGGCTATTTCTAAAGAAGTACAGAGTGGTAAATAGACCTTTATAGAGACAAATACCACATTTCTTTCTAATAGATAAAAACATTTTCCCTAAGAATGCTCTCTGGGAAGCAGCGTTCCGTATCACCTCCAAAGAGGGGCCTTCTGGTCAGCCTCTCAAAAGTATTTCCTAACCACCACTGCTCTTAAATTCTTTATCACACTTAGTACTTACTGGGAGCTCTGGTACCATAATGCTTAAGCCATTTGACTGCTAATCAGAAGGCTGGAGGCTCAAACTCACCAGCCACTCCTCGGAAGGAAGGTTGGGCAATCGACTTCCACAGTGATACCACCTTGGAAACCCAAGGAGAGGTCGCTATGAGTGGGATCCGACTCCACGGCAGTGAGTTTGCTCTTTTTGATTTAGTACTTACTATCTGAAATTTTGTTCATTTACTTGAAATATGTTTATTATGTCTTTCCTCATACCTCTGCCTCCTGTAAGCTCCATGAATTCAAAATCCAGTTTATTTTATCATCACTGTGTCCCCCAACATCCAGACCAGAATGTACTCAATAAATATCTGTTTAATTATTTAATGAATTAATGAGGATGCTCTAGTCAATACAATGTATTTCATCATATCACTTAAGGTGACAGTATCTATTTTGCTGTTTCATGAATGTATTAGTAATTCACTGTGTTTAGCAAAGGAACGCCAATCTGCTACTGAAATCTGATTATTTGATGGTGTCAGGCAGATACTGATAAGGAACATGGGATATGGGAACATATCTCTATGGGATATTTGGCCCTGATAAAGAGGACTGACTATATGGTTCCCCAAAAGTAACTATCTTCCAAAGTAGCTGTCTTTGATTACCTAGACCATTGTTACAGTTGTCATATTATAAAAGAGAAAATGCTGAGTGCTGAGGCTACTGGGTCTCCCCAAAAATCTTCACACATTTTTAGTAACTGTACTGTAGCCTAGCTTTATTTACAATTTTCTGCTCCTAACAGTTGGAAAAGGAGCTTTG